TGGGAGGCACGGGGAGCTTGTCCTGCACTTGACAGGCTTTTCTTGGGCACGGTTTTAGTAGACCCGCTCCTTAGGTGGTATTTTTTGACCATTTTGTGAATTCAGTCTGCTCATTTGATTTTTTTTCCCTGTAGACATAATTCAGTTGTTAAGACTTCTAGGCAGTGAAGATTTCTTTTTTTTCCATTCATTTGGTGAGCTCGTATTGAGATCCTGTTGGCCAGGCAGTGAGCAAACCAGAGAGCCCCTCTTGTGGAGCTGGTTTTGGCTCTTTTTTTTTTAATTTCTTTTTGGGTCATACCCGGCAATGCACAGGGGTTACTCCTGGTTTTTCACTCAGGAATTACTCCTGGCGGTGCTTAGGGGACCAAATGGGATGCTGGGAATCGAACCCCGGTTGGCCGTGTGCAAGGCACACACCCTATCTGCTGTACTAATATTCCAGCCCCCTTGGCTCTTTTCTGTGTTATTTCCTTTTCCTTTTTACCCAAAGGGTTTTTATTTATTTATTTAGTCCTAGAAGGCGATCTTCTAACCTGTGTACAGAGACTCTTATTTAGAAATCAATGACCTGAATACAGAGACTGCCTGCTCCTATTTCCCAGGCATGTTAATGGTTGTTCTCCAAGAGCTGGCCTAAGGGTATTTTCTTAGTAAGTACCTTCCAGGCAGCAGGAAGCCACCTGAAAGCCCTCTGCCATCACTTTTCTGCAGAGACCCCCACTGACCGAGGTCTGTTTTTCTTGAATCCAAGGCTGCACTTTGTCTGAGAGGTTGGCTTTTTTTTTTGGCTTGTTTGTGTTCTGGTTTTGATTTTTGGCCACACTTGGAAGTGCTCAGGCCTTACTCCTGGCTCTGTGCTCAGGGATCACTTCTAGCAGGCCTCTGGGGACCATAAGAGATGCCCCGATGGGATAGAACCGGGGTCACTGCTTAGATTAATGCCTAAATGCCCTCACCCCCCATCATAAAAAATAACCCACTCACAAACATAAAGGAGAGGTAGAAGGCTTATTGCTGGCTCAGTGCAGAGATGCTCATAGTGGTCATTGGGGAACCATTGATGGTGCTGAGGATAGGACTAGGATCAGCCACATGTATGGCAGAAATGCCTTACCTCCTGTACCGTTTCTCTGCTCCTAAGATTTTTTTTTTTTTGCTAATTAATTTTGATTAGGGCATTTGCCTTGCACGCAGCCAACATGGCCGACCCGGGTTCGATTCCTCCGCCCCTCTCGGAGAGCCCGGCAAGCTACCGAGAGTATCTCGCCCGCACGGCAGAGCCTGGCAAACTCCCCGTGACGTATTCGATATGCCAAACACAGTAACAACAAAGTCTCCAATGGAGATGTTACTGGGCCCCCTCGAGCAAATCGATGAACAACGGGAGGACAGTGACAGTGACAATTAATTTTGATGGGGGAGAGGTTTGAATCACACCTAGTTATGCTCAGGTGGTGTTTGTTCCTGACTGTGCTCCAAGGACCTTGTGGTGGCCAGGATCAGTCCCTGGTTTCCTGCATGAAGAGCATACTTCCCAGCTTAGTGAACTATCTGGCAAGCCCCTGGTTATCTTAAGTTGCATTTCTTGGATTAACCATGATGGAACTCTTTGAGTAAGTCTTATAGACCATCATTATTATGTGTATTACTTGTTCATATTCTTTATCCGCTAAGATATTTGTATAAAATTAGAGTTCATTGCACATTAGATTTCTTAGTCTTCATTTCCAAATATTAGTCAAATCTTTTTTTTTTTTATTTTGGGGTGCTCAGAGCAGCGCTCAGAGGTTACTCCTTTCTCTGCAGTCATGAAACATACATGATAGTCTTCTGCAGCCTATTCGGGGGACCCTCTGGGATGCTGAGGATCAAATCAGGGGTTGGCTGAGTGCAAGGGAAATGCCCTACCCGCTGTACTCTCACTCTGGCACCAAATCTATTTTTATTTATAGTATCTTCATTTGTATCTTGCACATGAAGCCTTTTTCCAAAAATTATAAAAATTTTATTATACAGTCGGTAGGGTATTTGTCTTTTATACAGTAATCCAGAGTTCAATCCCTGGCACCACATGAGAAGCCCCAAGCTCAGCCAGGAATGATCCCTGAGCACAGAGCTAGGAGCATGCACTGAGCATCACCAGGCGTGGCCCCAAAACTGTCCAACAAACAAATCATCTCATATTTTCCCCCAGTTGTTGTTCAGTTTTTATTTTATCTCTTTTTATTTTTAGTTGATATAGAATTTATTTCAGTGTGTATAGTAAAAAATCAGGATCAGATTTCATTTACTTCCAAATAGATGATCACAGGTTCCAATATAATTTACTCAATCCACCCTTTCTTCACTGAATTTACTTTGGTCTTCAGTATATGTTAAATGATCTCATATGTAAAGTCACGTGTCACTTAATCATTGCGAAAATGTGTCATTGGGTGATTTCATCATAGACTGAACATCATCATGTGACTATGTAAACATAAATGATATAGTCTCCTACAGCCATACTGCCTAGCTTGTTGGGACCACAAATGCACATGCAGTTCATCACTGACCAAAATGGTAGTTAGAACCAGGGGTGAGGCTCAGTGGTAAAGAGCATTTCTTGGATGTGTGCATTTCAGCTCTTGATTTCTGTTCCTAGTACGGCCCAGTGAAACGTTTTTAAGCAACATGTTGATTATAGATAGACATAGCTATGTAGATATACTTGAATATATTCCCATTTTTAAAAATTATTTCTTTATTAAGAATTTTGTTCTTTTCTTACGTCTTTCCCAAAGTGGGTAATACCACCACACAGGGAACCTGGAATTCTCCAGCAGATAGTAGTAGCCTTAGGTCCTATTGAGAGTCTCTTTCTGTCGCCTTAAAGAAGGAAAATTTCGGAAGGGGTATTGAGTAATTTTCGGGAAAAAAAAATTTTTTTGAACAAAAGGGGCCAGAGAGATAGCGCAGTGGTCAGGTGCTTGCCAGGCACGTGGCTAGCTCAGGTTCAATCCTTGATACCCCACGTGGTCCCCGGGGTCTGCCTGGAGTGATCCCTGAGTACAGAGTCAGGACAAAAAAAAATTTTTTTGAAACCTAGTGAAGGAAGATCAAGAAAGAAAAAGTACCTGGGTTTGTGGGGGAGGGAGGCATACCTGGTGTTGCTTAGGGGTAACCCCTAGCTCTGCACTCAGAAGTTACTTCTGGCGGTACTCAGGGCACTATCTGGAATGCTGGCGATCTCACCTGGGTCAGCAGAATGCAAGGCAAGCACCCGACCCACTGTGCTATCTCTTCAGCCCTCTGGGTTTGTTGTTGTTGTGTTGTTTTATTGGAACACCATGAGAGCAGTTACAAAGTTTTCGGCTTAAGTCTCGGTCATACAGTGATGAAACACCCGTCCCTTCACCAGTGCCCATTCTCCAACACCAAAAACCCCAGTATCCCCCCATCCCACACCCTCCCCCTACCTGTGTGGCAGACAGTTTCCACATTACTCTCTCTACTTTGATTACGTTCAATATTTCCACACCAAACCCACCATTGTTATTTGGGATTTTACCTCAACGCTCAGATCTGCCGAAAAGGCAACATTAGACAATTTGTTTTCTGATTATGAATTGCATGCGATGACTCGTGGCCACGATAGCGGCCGCACAATTTTGGAATTCTGAAGTTTTAATAATTAACTCTGGGGGGATTTCTGCCCAAAGCTGCTGTGTTCCGAGCTTTGTTTCTGAGTCTCTGGGATGTTGGCCAGTAAGCAGCTCAGTCAGCAGCCAGAGGGCTTGTTCATGGGCTGCGACTGGGGTCTCATAGTGGCAGGGGGTGCGAGGTCGGGGGTGGGGGTGGGGGGTTGGGCGTGGAAGTGCCAGCTCCGCCCCCTTCCCATGAGGCCCTGTTCCTTGGCACTGCGGGTCCCTCCCTTTCAGCCCTCTGTTCTTTTTCTTTATTTTCCTTTACTAGGGGGGTTTATTAAAAACAAATATATATGGGGCCACAGAGATAGTACAGCGAGTTTTTGCAGAAAAATACTGCAGTTCCCTTAAGTCCCAGGTCAGCCCTTAGTAGGACTCAGGTAGTCACAACCCTCTTTTTTAGTGTGCTTTTGTTTCTGGGCCACACCAGGTGATGCTCAGGAGTTATTCCTGGCTCTACACTCAGGATTACTCCTGGCAGTGCTCAGAGGACCAAATGGGATGCCAGGTATCAGACCTGTCAGCTGCATGCAAGGCAAGCGCCCTGCCCGCTGTTACTACCACTCTGGCCCCAGGTCACAACCTTTGCACCTTATACCCTCTGTCCTCACCCCACCACAGCTGGTGTTTGGTACTTCCTGTTGCTTCCTAACCCTCTCTAAAATGTGAATGCAGTACATCCACTTCATATGGTAAAATAAATAAGGATAGATTTGCTCGAGCGGGCCCAGTAATGTCTCCATCGCGAGACTTGTTACTGCATTTGGCATATTCAGTACATCACGGGTAGCTTGCCAGGCTTTGCCATGCGGGGGAGAGTACTCCTGGTAGCTGAAGGAAAGATACAGTATACAGTGTGCAAAAAGGGATAGCATCAGGCCTGGCTTTTGTTAATTTCCTTTGTCCTTCCACCTCAGTCCTTTGGAAACTGAAACACTACATGATTATAACATGCTGTTTTGATTATTTATGCCTCATTGTATGTCTATTAAGGTAAAGGCCCTCCCGTTGATCGTCGATTTGCTCGAGCGGGCCCAGTAACGTCTCCATTGGAGACCTTGTTGTTACTGTGTCTGGCATATCGAATACTCTCGGTAGCTTGCCGGGCTATGTCTATTACCCAAATTCTTGCATTTTGGCAATAATTTGACCTCTAATTAAGAACATTTGAAAACATTCCAGAAGAGAAATAATAACTCTGCAGTCTCCGTGAGCCACTGAAGAACTTTGGGGTTTTTGGTTGTCTGTCTTAGAGGTTTCTCTCAAGACAGGGTGCCAGTCTGCTGTGGTTGATGCTCTGTCTGCCTGCAGGCGGCCTGCCAGCATGGGAGGGACCGGTCGGTGGCAGCTGCCTCAAGGAAACACAGGTTCTTTATGAAGGAAGGAATCGGACTTTAAGAGGTAAACTTGGTGAAGTATGTATGCAGTGTACATCTGAAACTTACATAATGGTTTTTTGTTTGTTTTTTGCTGTACCATCACTCCAGCCCCTTAATTTTTTTAAACGTAGGAGTACTGCTATTTATTCAGCCATTGATTAAGCTGATTAAAGTGGGCATGAACTCCACACTTCTTTTTTTAAATATTTTAATTGAAAATTCATGAGGTAGACCATTCCAAAGCTATTCATAATTGGATTTCAGTCACACGATGATTCAGCACCCATCGCTCCACCGGTGTACATTTCCCACTACCATTGTCCCCCATTTTCCCAGCACCGTCCCCCAATCCCCACCCCCACCCCCAGCCTCCCTCTAGGGGAGACACTTTCCGTCTTGCTCTCCCTCTCCTTTTCTTTTTGTGCATTATGGTTTGCAATGCAGGTGCTAAGAGGTCATGGTGTTTGTTCAGGGCATTCGGTATTTTTATCGGGACAGTAAGGCTGGAGCAGCTTTTTAACTGGGTGGCTGCTTTGGGGTGTGGGTGTGACTGCTGAGGCTTCTGGAAGTACAGGGAGGTGGGGGCAGGTAGCCCATCCCGATCCCAAGAAAGTCTGGAGATTTCAGTCACAACATCCACACACCAGAATTTTCAGCAGGTTGTATCTTGGTGAAGTCCGTCCTGAGAGGGTGGATTCAGGCCAGGAATATGGCAGCAAGTTTGGATTGTGGAAGCAAATGAATGCCATGGGTTCTACTTGGATTGGCATCACACCAACCCACCCCACTCTGATTTACCCCAGTCTGTTCAGTCATGCTCGGGTCTGAGATTAACTGCAACTTTTGATCTTTTTTTTTTTTTTGATTTTTTTTTTTTGGGGGGGGCCCACCTGGTTATGCTCAGGGGTTATTCCTGGCTCTGCACTAGGAATTACTCCTGGTGGTACTCAGGGGGCCATATGGGATGCTGGGAATCGAACCCGGGTCGGCTGCGTGCAAGGGAAACGCCCTACTCGCTGAACTATCACTCCAGCCCGGCTTTTGATCTCTTTCAAGATTTATTTATTTATTTGTGGGGGTGACTGCCAGTGCTCCCATGAGTGGGAAGTGGGGGGGAGATAGCCCACCCCAACTCAGAGAAAGACTGGAGATTTCGATCACAAAACCCACATACCAGAATTTTCAGCAGGCTATATCTTGGTGAGGTCCATCCTGAGACGGTGGAGTCAGGCTGTGGGTATGGCGGTGATTTTGGATTGTGGAAGCAAGTGGCTACTGGGGGCTCTGCTTGGGTGGGCCCCAGGCTGACCCATTCCCCCGCCCCCCTTCGATTTCCTCCAGTCTGTTCAGCCATGCGCAGGTCCGAGATTAATTGTGGCTTTTGATCTCTTTCGAGATTTCCCTATGGGTCTCTGAAATAAGGACAATAAATGAGCCTATATAGCAGAACCAGAGGTGGTTGGAGGGCGCGGCTCCCACATACCTAACTTTTGGCTGTTTAATTTCTTGGTAAACTTGACCCCACGTTGTTGGGGCCCGACCAGAGGCACAGCAGCAATTTTGGGGCATCAGGAAGCCTGAAGGCGCCATCAGGCTGCTGATGCATTTGCCCTGCAGGTGCAGGCTGACCTGCTGATGGCACCATACCCCCGAAACTTACATAATGTTATGAGGCCGTATTGCTTCGATTTAAGGGAACAGTTTTTTTTTTTTTTTTAAGAGAACAGGTTTTAAGTACAAAAGATGGAAGGTGAGTAGACGGTTGTCAGAGACTTGCTCACAAAGGCTCCCGCTAAGGGTTTCCTAGCCCTACTGCTGCTGTTTTAGGGGAGCAAGGAAAAAGTACTCACTGCCAGCTATAATGTTCTGTTTTTAAGCATGTTTCACTGGTTTAAAGAATTGACTTTCTTTTTTTTTTTTTTTTTTTTTTTTTTTTTTTTTTTGAAATTATATGGCTTTTTTATTTTAAAAGGAAACCCAGGGTCTAACAAATGAGGTGTGTACTTTACCATATCCCTAGCCCTAAATGGCTTCTTTTTTTTTTTTTTTTTTTTTTTTTTTTTTTTTTTTTTATTTATTTATTGAATCACTGTGGGAAAGGTTACAAAGCTTTCAGGTTTATGTCTCAGTCATGCAAATATCAAACACATTTCCCTTTACCAATACTTATTTTTTCCCATGAAGAACCCCAATAAAACCCCACCCCCCACCCCTCCCCGTCCCTGTGAGGCAGATGAATTCTAGTTAACACTCTATCCGCTTTGATTAGATTGTTTCAATAAAAGATTCACCACTATTATTTAGAGTTTACCCCCCCCCCCAAATCAGACATGCTGAAAAAGCATTGTGAAGTGATTTGCTTTCTCCAGCTGGGTTCAAGAATTAAATGTTGGTTTTGGATTTCTGCTATTTTACTTATTGACCCTGGAAGTATTTCTACTGAAAGTCAGATAGTTAAGAAATTGGTTTCTGTGTTCTGGAGTTGTGGCCGTGCTGGAGAGCCGCTCGTGGGGGGCAACTGGTGGCCTCGGTAGGGCATGAAGGGCGGAGCGAAACGCCCCCCTTCCCATGAGGTTTTAGTCGCCCCCACACTCCCGGCTCATACCTGCTGTCCACAAGGCTCCCATGTGGCCGCCATCTTTCTTTCCAGAGAGGAGAGGGCGAATGGGGCAACACCCTTTCCCCTCCGGCAGACTTGATGGGCTGGATCAATGCATAGTCCATTCACTTTTCTGCTCCAAGCTGCTGGGTTCTGCATTAAGTCCTTGTGCTTCTGGGGCCATGGCCGTGCTGGAGAGCCGCTCGTGGGGGGCAACTGGTGACCTCGGTAGGGCGTGAAGGACGGACCGGAACGCCCCCCGACCCATGAGGTTTTAGTCGCCCCCACTCCCCCGGCTCATACCTGCTGTCCACAAGGCTCCCATGTGGCCGCCATCTTTCTTTCCAGAGAGGAGAGGGCGAATGGGGCAACACCCTTTCCCCTCCGGCAGACTTGATGGCCTGGATCAATGCATAGTCCGTTCACTTAAGAATTGACTTTCATGCCCTGCCACAGAGGCAGGGTGGGATGGGGGTTGGGGGGTGGGAGGGATACTGGGATCCGTGGTGGTGGGAAATGGGCACTGGTGGAGGGATGGGTACTTGATCATTGTATAACTGAGACCCAAGCACAAACATTTGTAAGTCTACAACTGTACCTCATGGTGTTTCACGAATAAAAATTAAAAAAAAATAAAGAATTGACTTCCTTGCAGCCACATTTGGTTGCCTTTTGTTCCAGACTCTCCTGGTTTAGTTTCCATTGGATACTAATCAGATACCATCTTGTGAAACATTTTGGAGTTGGGTTAGACTTTATGACATACTTCTCAGGACACAGTTGAAACTCAGAATGGAAGGAAAGCAAACAAGAACGAGCGCAATCACATAGTAAACAGAACCATTGCCAGAGCCGGAACAAAGAAACAGGCTAGCATTTACGTTTAGGCCTAACAGAAGGAACTGCCAGGGACGGCGCTGGGGGCTGGCTAGATCGCACAGCAAGGTCTGAGGGCTTCTGTTTTTTTTTTTTTATTATTATTATTTTTCTTAATGTAGGAGTACTACTATTTATTCAGCCACTGATTAGCTGACTGAACTGTGCATTAACTCCACCTCACTTTTTTTTTCATTTTTTATAATTTTATTTACTGAATCACCGTGAGAGCAGTTACAAAGCTTTCGGGTTTAAGTCTCGGTCATACAATGAAACACCCATACCTTCACCATTGCCCATTCTCCACCACCAAAAACCCCAGTATACCCCCCTCCCACACCCTCCCCCTACCTGTGGGGCAGATGATTTCTACATTACTCTCTCTCTACTTTGATCACATTCAATATTTCGACACCATCATTATTATTTGAGATTTTACCCCAACACTCAGATCTGCTGAAAAGGCAACAGTAGACAATTTGTGTTCTATTGCTGGTTATGAATAACATATGATGTCGTGTGGCTGCAGTAGGGCCATGTGGTTTTGAAATTCCGAAATTTTAACACTTAAATCTGGAGGGATTTCTGCCAAAAGCCACTGGGTTTCGAGATTTGCTCCGGAGTCTCTGGGATCATGGCCGTTGAGCAGCTTGATCAGGAGTCAGAGAGGCCGTTCGTGGGCGATGACTTGGGGTCTCGTTGGGACGGGGAGACCAGGACCGGCTCCAACCCCATCCTGTGAGGCCCAACAAGTTTCATCACTGCAGACCCAGATCTGACTGTCCAGTGGCCTCTGGAGGATGACGGCCACTGAGCCGCCAACGGGGAGCAGGCGGAGGGACAACACTGAGGGCTCTGTTTTAGATAGCCTGCAGTCCTCAGGGAGAAGGTAGGGTTTGGAGCCCCTCCTCTCCTGAGCTGCGACACAGTGCTGTCCACTGGGCTGTGCACTGGGCAGTGGAGCTCATTTTACCCCATATGTGGACCTGACAGGTCCTACATTTCTGCCAGGCCCTTCTCTGCTCTTTCCTCGCATTTCCTCTTGTAAATTAGGGATATGCACACACCCAGAGTACCAGGGACACTCGAATAAGGACTCTTTCCTGAGGGTGGGCCACCTTTCTGCCTCTCCATCCTTGTGTGCCACTGACAGTTCAGCCCACAGTTTAGATAGAAAGTCAGGAGTTAAGGAGTTTGCTTTGCACACAGCCAATCCTGGTTTAGCTCCGCTCCCCTAGCACTGCCAGGTGTGGCCCAACCACGAGAAAGAGACAAGGAGGGAGAGAGAGAGAGAGAAAGAAGGATGGAGGAAGGGGGGGGGGGGAGAGAGAGAGAGAGAGAGACTGCATCTTCAGCCCCCAAGATCAGAGTCTCTTCTCCAACTGATTGACTTAGGAACTGTATGTACATGTTAAAAGCATTTCTCAGTGCTCACTCTGGCAGCACATATACTGGAATTGGAACCATGCAAGGAAGATTAGTTGGCCCCTGCGCAGGGGTGACACAAATCCAGTCTGTGAAGTGTTCCATATTAAAATGTATATGTATATATCTCCATGTTTCCATATTTTCTTTTTCCAAAAAAAGTATCTGCTCATCCTCTCCCTGTGCTCTGTTCCCTCCACGATGCCTTCTTATTTCACAAGTGTCTTTCAGAGGTGCATATCACTGTTCGCTTTAAAGAGTTGCTCCACTACCCGCCTTTCTATTTCTGTTGCTGGTGCCGCTGGATTTACCCGTGCTGTTCTCTCCCCATCTGTTTTCTCCGTCTCCCTTTCTCTCTCAGACGTTTACCCGTGGTCCACAAACACCTGTGAGCAGAATGAGTCTTACCCCATCCTTGCCAACTGCACTGGCTGTGCCCAGAAAGTACCCCTTAAGGTGCTTCTCCTGGAAGATACCCCAAAGAAATTTGAGAGGTTCCATCCTCTAGTGATCAAGGTGAGTAAGAGCCAACTCTTCTGGTTGGCCACCGGTGTGATTAGTTGACTGGAAAACATCCACGGCATTTCTGACAAGTACCTTGCCCTGTTCCGTTTTGCTTTGTTTTCTGCCTTACTAGACGGGCCGGCCCTTGCTGTCTGAGAAGCTTCGACACTTCCTCTGCCAGTACCCTGAGGCCACAGAAGGCTTCACTGAAGGTTTTTTCGCCGAGTGGTGGCGCTGTTTTCCTGAGCGGTGGTTCCCGTTTCCTTACCCTTGGTAGGTGTGAAGTGGGGTGCCCAGCCTGTGTGTCCACGGGGCTGGCCACACGTGAAAGCAGCAACAGCTCCCAGTGAGACCCTGCTGTGCCCGGCACTGTGCTGGACTTTCCAGTAGACCCTTTTGCAGATCAGAAGGGCTGTACGTTAAGAATTAAAATGCTTTTGTCTTCCTGTGTCTTCTGGGTTCTCGAGATAAAGGTTGCTCTCTAGAAGGAAAAGGAAATCGTTTTTCTTTTTTTTTTTTTCAAAGATTTTTATTTATTTATTTGCTTTTTGGGTCACACCAGCGATGCACAGGGGTTACTCCTGGTTCATGCACTCAGGAATTACTCCTGGCCGTGCTTGGGGGACCATATGGGATGCTGGGAATCGAACCCAGGTCGGGCTGCGTGCAAGGCAAATGCCCTACCCGCTGTGCTATCGCTCCCACCCCGGGAAAGTCATTTTCCTCTAGATCTGTTCCAAGGAGAATCAAAGGCACTTTTCCAGGCTTTTGGTTAGATATTCCCTCAATGTCTCTGCCTTTCTTTAAATTTGCCTTGGTCTGCATGATCAGATACTCAGTGTAACAAGCTAATCAGACTTCCTACTGCATGCTGCCCACCTTAGAAGGAGGTTTACAATTTTGTCAGGGGGGTCGGGGCAAGTATCTCAAACTGTGCTCAGAACCCCAGGCTCACCCCAGCGGTTCTTAAGGTACCACACGGTTCTCAGGAATCAAACCCAGGCCTCTGCATGCCAGCCAAGCACCTTCTAAACGAACATACAGAGAAGGCCATCTCTGTGGCCCAGGTTCGCTTTTTTTTCCTTTTTGGGTCACACCCAGCAGTGCTCAGGGGTCACTCCTGGCTCTGCACTCAGGAATTCCTCCTGGTGTTGCTCGGGGGCCATATGGATACCAGGGATTGAGCCCAGGTTGGCCCCATGCAAGACAAATGCCCTGCCTGCTGTATTACCGCTCCAGCCCCAGATTCACAGTTTTTATCCCCTGTTCCTCCCTTTCCTCCTGCCTGACCTGCTGAAAAGAAAAAGAGAAAAACCTGAAACTGCTGCTTCCGTTTCTTTTCCAAAAGGAACAAATGAATGATTTTCTTTCCTTCATCTATATGTTGTTTTAGCTGGACTTTATAAACACCCCGCCCACGTGTACTAATCGTGGTCACGGAGTTGTGCCTCTTCATGCTTACAGATAATTGATTTGGCATGCCTGTTTTTCATAGGCCTAATACTTAAGGTATTGTTCGGATTTTCCCCTTCTTTTCCCAACACCCACAGTTTTCCCATCGTTGCTTGACTCTGTTAGTTAGGCTGGCTCACTCTGTGTGGTTACATTTTTCTCTTTCAAACTTTCACAGGAGAAGGCCTCTGAACGGATCAAAAGTTTTACCAGAGGTTTTTCCTGTTTTCACCTACCTGCCATTTCCAAAAGATGCCTCCTTGAAAAAGTGCTTTCTTCTTCAGCCGGAGCCTATTTTGGGAAGTAAGGTAGGAAATTCTGAGAAGACTCGGATCTAGAATCTTCTCCATATGGTAACTGAACTCCTTTGTATGCCAGTTTACATGGTGAATTGAGAGGCCACTGTAGTCTAGAGCTCTCTCCTGCTATTGTAGTTTAAGAGATCTGCCAGTGGCGTTTTACTGAGGCATGATCGCCAGAAGTCTTGCTTACATAGCTGTCCTACCTGATCACCCGCGGGTCAGGGTTTTCTACATCAGAGATGTGGGAGAGACAGAAAACAGAGTCTGCCTGGTCAGTCCAACTCGCTTGTGCGAAACTGAATCCCAGACAGCAATAGTCATTACTTGCCCAAGGATACAGCAAGTTAATAGGAAGGCTCTCCCCTCTTTCTCTCACAGGTGAACGTTCCCAAACATAAGTACATGAGAAACCATGTGAAGAACTAAAACCTGGAAATATTGTAAGCCTAGGGAAGATTTGGGACTAAAGGCTTTTATAGATAGGTGCCCAAGGCAGGCAGCCCAGTTACGGTAGCAACGCCTTGGTTCATGGCCAGTGCCCACCTCTGCTTCTCTGGAGCGCGTGCTCTGAGTGAGCTCTTCTCTGTTTGCTTTTCTTGTGAAGTGCCTTTTTTGCTGAGTTCCTGAAAAAAATGTTTGTGCTCAGATTGGTCTGGAAGAATAAAGGATGCATTTTTCTTGGTAAACGAGTTACATTTCCTCAACTGTAACCCCAACCAACTCCGGGTTGTATCTTCAACCTCCCAGTGCTGTTGTTGGGCTGCGGATCTGCTGCATTAACCCTGGAGGAATTAAGATCCCTATAAAAAAAACAGTTATTTTGTCTAGAAGTAAGGGTTTCTGTCGGCCAGCAGAAGGGTGGAGTTCTGGGTTTCTGCCTCAGATTTTAAAGACGTTTTTCCTGCTGTCTCCAACTAGCACTCAGGGCCCTGTTATGACTTCATCTTCATAATTTTGATATGATTCTGGGTGAGGGCCTCTCTCTTGGTTTTCCCACTTGAATACAGAAGTTAATCTCACCAGCTTGTGCTTCGTAGGGACACCTAGGAGCCAAGCCAAAGGGATAAATACAACTTAGGCAGCCTATCAGATTTATCTTGTTGTGGTTCTTGATGTTTTGGGAAGGGGAGTGGCCCAAGTAAGCAAAACCCTGAGACTCTGGTTTCTTGGAGCAGCTGTTCCCGCTCTGACCCGAGCTCTTCTTTCTCCATGACTTGTTACTCCACCCTGTTATTCACGTCCTGGGCTCTGGACCCTGGTAAAGTCACACATCTGTGGGCCCAGGACTTAGAGGCAGCCAGCCTTGAGATAGAACATTAGTGGAGGGGCTGGAGGAGGGGTAGGACAGCAGGTAAGGCGCTTGCCTGGCACACAGCTGACCTGGGTTCTATCCCTCGTACCCCATATGGTCCCTGAACCTGCCGGGAGTGATTCCTGAGTGCAGAGCCAGAAGTAATCCCTGAGCATCACTGGATGTGCCCCCAAAGCAAAAAGGCGTAGAGCACATGTGTGAGGCCTTGGGTTCCATCCCCAGCACTCTGTGCCTCTCCCCTGCCCCTCCCCCCTCACAAAGCAGAGAAGTGAGAGAGTGATTGTTCAGCTCAGTTGAGGAACGCTAAGCCCTGTTCACCCCTCGCAGTGTTGCCTAAGGCTGGCTCTCTTCATCTCGTCTGTTTCTACCCATCCTGGCTGGAGAGAAATGCGGTCCCCCCTTTTTCAGGCTTCCACGAGAAGTTTGTCTTCCAGGATTTCTCAAGACGATACATGCCAGGACTTCTCGCTAATTAAGAGGCCAGCTCAGGACAGCAAGCCTCCTCCTGGCACTGCGGCAGCAGTCGAAATGGCTCTGGTGCTCGCTTGGAGATAGACGTGGCCAGCCTGTGGGAGCAGCAGAGAAATAAAAATCAGGGATGGGGACGGGGGAGATGGTGCCCAAACCCAGGGCTCTAGAGGCCCTGTGTGGGGAAGAGAAAACCAGATGTGTCCCAGGGAGTCAGATTTCTGACCCCAGCATTAGGTGGTTAATGAAGGGCTCTTCCAAGGGAGAAGGAAGAAAGGGGAAGACGCTGGTGGTCTCCTCTCACCTTCTAAGCAAACCCAGCCTCTCCCTTTCTCACCAATTCCTGCCCCTGCCCGCCTCCAAGGTTCCTGGCTCTCCAGCACAACTTCTGCAGCTGCACATGCTGGTTGACCAATCCTTGCAGAAGTGAACCAGTATTGCAGTCATTAGTTTTTATTCACAGGGTAATGAAGTATCTGCTTCCCTTGCCAGAAAGTATCAACTTGAACTTGCTGCCATTCAAAAACCCAGGCAAACTCAGTAACTCTATTGCAAACTATAACACCCAAAAGGAGAGAGAACTAAAGGGAATGCCCTGCCATAGAGTCGGTTGGGTGGTGGAAAAGATTTTGGGAACATTGGTGGAGGAGAATGGGCACTGGTGGAGGGATGGGTAAACCATTATTGTATGACTGAAATACGAAAGTTCATAAGTTTGTAACTGTACCTCACAGTGGTTCACTAATAAAAAATTAAAAAAAAAAAACCCAGGCCAGAAAAAGGGAGGACTGGAGCGATAGCCAGCAGGTAGGGCGTTTGCCTTGCACGTGGCCAACCCGGGTTTGATTCCCGGCATCCCATGTGGCTCCCCCAGCACCGCCAAGAGTAATTCCTGAGTGCATGAGCCAGGAGTAACCCCTGTGCAACACCCCTGTTTTTGGGTGTGACCCAAAAAACAAAACAAAACAAAACCCAAAACAACAACAACAAAAACTAGGCAGTGAGAATGAGTACTCCATTAAACATTGCCCAAAGAATATGCATCTGTTTCTCTGGCCTGCATCAAGGGCCAGAGCCATAGGTAACATTTGGGAGGGCACTTGCCTTGAACACTGCCAACCCGGGGTCAGTCTTCAACATCCCATATGGCCCTCTTTTTTTTTTTTGCTTTTTGGGTCACACCTCACAATGCTCAGGGGTGAGTTACTCCTGGCTCTGCACTCAGGAATTACTCCTGCCAGTGCTTGGGGGACCATATGGGATGCTGGGAATCGAACCCCATTCAGCCACGTGCAAGGCAAACGCCCTACCTGCTGTGCTGTCGCTCCCGGCCCCATATGGCCCTCTGGGCACTGCCAGGAGTGATCCCTGAGTGTAGAGCCAGGAGTAACCCTTGAGCATCACAGGGTGTGGCCCAAAAAATGAATAAATAAAATGCCTGCATCAAGCTGACTCAGAACATCGCACACTTAGACCGCCTTTTGTTGGCTTCTGTTACACCCTTGTTAAACTGTAGTTTGTATTTGCCTGGTCTGCTTTGAAGCTGTGACTAGAAGTCTGAATTTGAAAGGCTGTGTTTATCTGCTCTAAGGCTATTAGAGGGTTTTTGTGTTTCCTTATTTTGGTTTTTTGGGTCCCACCTGACTGTGGTCAGGACTTACTTCTGGCTCTGTGCCCAGGGATCACTCCTAAAGAGCTCAGAAGACCGAATGGGGTACTGGTGAATCGAACTGGGGTTGACCACATGCAAGGCAAATGCCCTACTCACTGTCCTATTGTCTGCCCCTGAAAGGCTGCTTTGCGAACATATCTCACTGATTCCCTTAACATCCCCTTAGGAGAACCCCTCCAAGAGATTTACTCTGGTTTCAGTACAGGAGAAGTGAAGCTTGGGAGAAACAAATCCGTGTTTATCCTTTGGGCCTAATTAGGGTTGTCGTGCCGATTCTCCTTTCCACTTTGCTTCGGCTGCTGGGAGACTCAGAGCCTAAAGGGCAAGGACTTTGGTATATTAATCTCCACCTCCTCTGGTTTTTTTCTTTCCCTTTCTTTCTTTCCTCCTGTTTTCCATCTAGATGCATAGGATGCATGACCTGTTTATCGTGAGCAGTGGCGAGGCCATGTTGCAGCTCATCCCCACCGACCAGTGCCGAATACACTGTCAGTCCATGGCAATGCTGCTACAACCAGGGGATATTGGTAGGTGGACCTCCAAGGGGCAGGGTCAGCGGGGATCTTTCAGTTTTTGACGAGAAGCATTCTTAGAATTGAATAAATTTCTTTCATAAAGCTCAATGAAGTAGTCTAAAATAGCATATTGTTTTTTAATTAGGTTGGTATTTCTGCTTCCATGAAGCAACTGATGGTAAAAAGGTGGCAAAGAGAGATGCTTTGCATGGACATTTAGAATTCATGTATGCCTTGGTTTAGAAACTTCGGGTTAGGATTCTGAAAGAAAGAAAGAAAGAAAGAAAGAAAGAAAGAAAGAAAGAAAGAAAGAAAGAAAGAAAGAAAGGGAAAGAAAAAAAAAACCAGAGGAGGTGGAGATTAATATACTTATTTAGAGCAATCCTATGTGCCGACGGGATTGAGAGCCAAAGAGGAGATATGCGCATGCCAGAGTTCCTCTGTGCTGTGCCCTGGCCTCTGACTTTGGGTCTTTATTCTTTTTGCTTTTTGGATCACACCCGATGCTCAGGGGTTACTCCTGGCTTTGCACTCAAGAATTACTCCCTGTAGTGCTTGGGGGACCATATGGGATGCTGGAAATGGAACCCAGGTTGGCCGCGTGCAAGGCAAACGCCGTACCCACTGTGCTACTGCTCCAGCCCCCCAGACTTTGGGGTTTTGGGGGATGTGAGGGGACATACCTGGCAGTGCTCAGGTATTCCCTGTTCAGTGCGAAGGGGACCTTTGGTGCCAGGGATTGACCCTGGATTTCCTGCCTACAGAGTATGGTCTTCTGCCTACTGAGCTCAATCCCTGGACCCAGCCTCATGTTTTAAGTATCTCCATTAACAGAGTTAAGACAGGGAGTGTAATTCCAGATTCAAAGAATCTGGCCCCTTTCTGTGCCCCTTTTTCTAATAAAGCAGTGCAAGCAGTCTGTCAGGGCAACAGTCACTCAGGGAAGCATTGCCTCCTTATAGGCCCCAGGACCAAGTCATAGCCTCACAGTGATGACTCACCCTTGGCCCTGTTATTTCCCAACGGTGACTAGTCTGCGCCTTAAATTCTGAAAATCCATCTACAGAATAGGTTTGAGTCAGTTACTGCCAGTCGTAATCAGTTTTACAGTGGGGTTTTTGGCAGAAGCAGCGAGTAAATGAGCAAGTGTCACCGTTGCCCGTCAAGTCCCTGGTTGGGTTTTCAGTTCATTTCCTTTCCTGTTGCGTATTCATAAGACTCTGATTCCTAGAAACGCCTCACATCTTTCAGAGAGTAGGATACAGACTGCAAATTAGGCCAAGCTCTTCTCTATGTTATATACCTTCATTTCAACTGAAAAGTGAAAAAGTAATAAGCAAATTAAGTATCAACTGGTAATGGAGCGCAGCGGGGCTGACTTACTCAAAAAAAAAAAAAAAGGATTCTTGTATGGCAGTTGGTCAGGACCTGTTTCCTGTGAGGGAGGGAGCCTTCCATGAGGAATGGCTATTGTGCAAGTCAGTGTGGCATTGGGAGATTTCACTGTGTAGTCGGGCTTGGAAATGCTTTTATGTTCTACAAGTGTCTGACAGATCAGACAACTACAGAAACACCTTAGTTGTCCGGATTACAAGTCTTCAGCTCCACGGGCATCCAGAATGCCTGTTATGGAATCAGGAAAAAGAGAGGGGAAAAAATGGTGACTGGCCGCAATCAAAAAGGAGCTTTGAGCTTCGCAGCAGGACTGGAGGGAGAGTCCAGAATAGCCCGAGCCCAGAGCGTAGAGCCGGGAGGAAGGACAGCGACCCTGTGGTTGGCCAGCAGGACGGGGAAGGCAGCCACAGCAAGGAGGCTGGGGAGGCGACAGCGGATGAGCAGGGCAAGTGCGTGAGGAGAGCGGGGCAGACAGCAGGCGCCTGCCCCGAGGCAGGAATAGAAACGGTGGCTACCGCAGCCGAGTGGAAAGCTGGAGAACTCGGGTGGTGGGACGGACGGCTGGCCGCCCCGGTCAGTGTAGCACTGGGACAGCAGGTTGTGTGTTTGCTGAGGAGGTAAGCATTGACTCTAGGGGGCGGCAGGAGGGAGCCGGGGTCCAGGCCGCCAGGAGTCCTGTGATGCAGGTGCTCAGGTCTCAGAGCAGGCTCGTGTGCGCCAGAGCTGCTGTTTCGCTCATGGCGGCCTCATCACCAAGTAGAAGGTTGAATTCTCTTCAGTGTTCCAAGTTTCTTTTTCGTTAGTCTATTTGCAGATTTTACTCATTTGTTTGGGTTAGGGGGCTACATCCAGTGGTGCTCCAGGACTTCCCCCTCAGCTCTGTGTTCAGGTCATTCCCAGAGGCCTTGGGGGACCACACAGGGCCAGATATCAAACGCAGACCTCCCTCACGAAGCGCATGCACTCAGCCCGCTGAGATGTCTCTGCCCAGCAGTCTCTGTTTAAAATGGCTGGTGTTGGGCCTGGCGAGATGGACAGTGGGCAGTGCCCCTGCCTCTCACGCAACTGGCCTGGGTTTGATTCCTAGTTCCACATAGGGGCTACCTGAGCCTGCCGGAAGTGATCCCTGAGTGCAGGGCCAGGAGAAAGCCAAGAATTTCCAACCTTGCCCAAGAATAAAATCAATAAATATGTCAAGTGCCAGAATGTTTTTCATCGGGAAATTAGTATAATGTTAAGCTTAGCTTCTCAGCTCTTTGAAAAGCTATATATCAAATTCTTTTTTTTTTTTTTTGCTTTTTGGGTCATACCCAGCAATGCACAGGGGCTACTCCTGCCTCATGCATTCAGGAATAACTCCTGGCAATGCTCAGGGGACCATATGGGATGCTGGGAATTGAACCCAGGTCAGCTGCGTGCAAGGCAAACGCCCTACCCGCTGTGCTATTGCTCCAGCCCCAAGAAGCTGTATATCATTGCTTCCTCAGCACATAAGGCCCTGGACAGAGTGTCTTTGGGAAATAATCTGTTCTGTTGATGCATCGTGCACATTAGTGTTTACAAAAGGGCCCAAAAAGCTTGGCAGAATTATTTCTAGACTTACTTGACCAGACAACCCATTTCCTGAGGTGATTTTAATGGGAATGCTACTCTGGGCTGAGCCCAATCCAGAAAATGCTGGTTTGGGTTAATCTGGTTATTCTGTAATCTGTAATGAGATCTCATTTTAAACAACCTCAGGAGAGTTGGACCAGGGTCCAGCTCCCCATCAGACCTCGTCCTGTTGCATGACTGAAGGAGATGAGACCAGTGTAAATATCGATATGCAACACCAGCACCGTGGATGTATGTATCCTTAGACTGCCCTGCTTTTGTAAACCTTCTCAGTGTTTACAGTTAATCCAGATGTGAGAGATAAGAAGGAGCTTTGTTCTGAGTGGTTCCAACTACTGGATGTCAGGGTATAAAGAAGACTAGGAACATTGACACCAAAATGAGCCGGAAAAAGACCCGCACGGCATGATCTGCTGTTTTGGCTGCTGCTCCCGACAGCGGCTCCGCCAGGCCCGCCAAGCTCTTGTCACTGCCATTCACGTGCTTTCCTCTTGCTGTTTTCCTTCAAGGTTATGCCGGTGCCTCCCAGTGGAAGGTCTACATTATAGCCAGAGGCGCCCAGCCTGTGGTCATCTGCGATGGAACCACCCTTTCAGAATTATAGGGATCAGAACTATAGAGAACATCTTTGAGAGCCGAAGACCCAATTGAAAGGGAAAAATAAAGAACAAAAGCCATGAAACCACTTTCCCGGGGTTGGTCACTCCGTTCCCTGCCCTGCGCATGCATGTGTAAGCCAGCTGTGTGCTAGGGGCAGTGACTGGAGCCAGCTTTCCCGGTGGGTGGGTGGGTGGCTCGGTGGCTCCCCTCTCCGCGCTGCTGGCGGACTTTGTCCCCACCGATGAGAGGCAGGCTCTTCCCACTTCCTGGCACCACTTCCTTGAGGCTGCCCCTTGGGGAGGCCCCCTGCCCACAGAGCAGGCAGCCAGCAGGTTTGCAGAGTCCGACTTCACGGGGCAGGCCTGCTTTTCCTGTCCTCTGGCCACACCAGCCTGTCCTTGTTTGCACAGCTGTCACTCCAGTTTCCCAAGCAGAGAGGGTTCTAGAGCTAGTGCAGCTATGATCCAATTGCACTCACGAAGTACGCTTCTTCCCAGGTCCATGGCTCGTGGGGTCTGTGGTGCCGAGCTGGACTCTGGTCTTTGAGATAGTAATTCAGATCCCATGGTAGCATTTTTCTCCACTGTATCATATTTTGGTTTTGTTGTCTTGGCAAAGCCTGGCAAGCTCCCCGTGGCGTATTCGATATGCCAAACACAGTAACAACAAAGTCTCACAATGGAGACGTTACTGGGCCCACTCGAGCAAACCCATGAACAACAGGAGGAGAGTGCTACAGTGTCTTGGGGGTCTACCCCGCATTTCTGGGGGCCACCAGAGCTACTCCCCAGCAGTGCTGCAGAGACCGTGCAATGCCAGAGATGGAACCCAAGACCTGTGCGTGTCAGGCATGTGCCCTTTGAGCTATCTCTCTAGTTTACCAGATCCTGCATTAGCCACCAACTCCCGTCCCTCCTCCCTTGCCTCCCTGAGTGGGTTCTCAAAAATTGGCTCCCTGGTTCCCCCTGCCCTTTAGTGCTGAGGCTGCAGTGTGCCTGTCGGCTGTGTTGCTTTGTTGAGTGTCCTGAGACGGGTATTGATTAACATGTTGGCCTGGGGAGAGGGCGCCTCCCTGGGTTTGATCTTTGGGATGTGACTTTCTGCGGGGAAGATGTTTTACAGATGTCTCAGGCTGATGTTGTAATGTGCTTGGGGAAGGAACGCAGCATCCGAAGCGTCTGCCAGCAGGGCGTGTAGCTCTGACCGTCTGTTTTAAGATGATTTCTCTCTTTGTACTGGGAAACAAGGTGAGGATTTTATTTTTTGTTGTAATATAAAGGTCTCTATTCTCTCGATTGTCTGCCTCACCTTACTCATTGATTTCCACATGCTTTTAGTGTACCAGATGGTGTATTTTTAAAAAAAAAAACTGTTTTTCACTTATCAACACTATTTTGTTTTCGTTTTTTTGCTTTTTTGGGTCACACCCAGTGATGGTCTTGGGTTAACTCCTGGCTCTGCACTCAAGAATTACCCCTGGTGGTGCTGGGGGGCCCAGTATGGGATGTGGGGAACTGAACCCGGGTTTGCCGCATGCAAGGAAAATGCCCTACCAGCTGTACTGTTGCTCCGGCCCTTATCTGCACTGTTGGATATCTGCTTTCCAGTCATGCCATCACCAAGGTACATGCAAACCAACTGGGATAGAAGATACAGCACAGCAAGGAGGTCACTTGCGTCGCATGCGGCTGATCCAGGTTCGATCTCGGGCTTCCCATATGGTCCCAGGAGCCCGTCAGGGGTAATTCCTGAGTGCAGGGCTAGGAGTAACCCTTGAGTACTGCTGGTTGTGGCCCCAGAAAAACAAAAAGAAAGAAAACCGACCATATTATGGCTCCTGGTTCTCACTTGCAGAAAGGAATTGGATACAGGCAGTATCTCTGTGGCTTTGGGGATCAGAGGCTGACAGATAAGCACAGAAGGGGCTGTGACTCCTTGCAGGGTCGTCTTTACCCTGGAGGTGTCCCTGCCTCTACTCCCCGGGCCCTCTGACTCTGCACCTCTCAGGAACAGCGGTGAGGATTATGGGGCAATCAGGGTTCAGAGCTCAGGACAGAAACGGAGTCTTCTGTGGGCTTGAAGAAAATAAGGCTGAGATATACTTGAGGGAATTTGTCCTTAAAAAGAATCAGTGCCATTCAATCAGCTAATCAGTGGCTGAATAAATAGCAATACTCCTGCATTAAATAAATAAATAAATAAATAAATAAATAAATAAATAAATAAAAGAATCAGTGCCGGGGCTGGAGCAATAGCACAGCGGGTAGGGCGTTTGTCTTGCATGCGGCCGACCCGGGTTCGATTCCCAGCATCCGATATGGTCCCCTGAGCACCGCCAGGAGTAATTCCTGAGTGCAGAGCCAGGAGTAACCCCTGTACATCACCGGGTGTGACCCCAAAAAAAAAAGAATCAGTGCCTTGTGTGGAAAAACAGAACTTTTTGTACGTATAAAAGTCACCCTGTTAAGTGGCTATGATTTAGGGGGTTATAAATCAGAGGGATCACGCAGAGGCCAGCTTTGTACAAGCTTTTAGAGCCTTCACAATGCTGTAACTCACCCTGCTGCACATGGGGAAGAATTATATGTAAACAAATTCTTTAGTGGCCTCTCAGATTTCTGAAATGAGGCCCTTGGTTAGCAAAGGAGAGGATTCCGTAAGAGCAAAGCAATTGTGTAGAAGATTGAGATTTCTGTTTTGTTTTTATGAGCTGCATTGTGTCCACATTTCACTCATGCTCTTCAAATCTTAATGTTCAAAAATACCCACATCAGCTCATAACTTTGAAAAGTAAGAGCCCCTGGCACCAGTTGAAATTCTGAGGTCTCCCTTGGAAGTCCCCAAGGCCCCCGAGCTTTTGACAGTTCAGGAAAGAGCACTGCACGTCTCCACCTCATCTTAAGATAGATCCAGTTTAGAATTGAATGGAGGGCACGTGGGTAGGCAAGTAGGGTGATTGTCATATGTGGGACTCACCCGGTGCCATCCCAGCTCCTCGTGTGCTTCCGAGCCTGCCATAGTCAGGAGTGAGCCCTGAGCACCACCAGGTGTGACGCTATAACAAACACAAAAGCAAAAAGAACCAAGTGGGAATTGATGTTAGGGAAGACATTTTTCAAAGAGATTTTTTTACTTTTAATTAGATTACTCTGGATTATATTTTATATTTATATCCGGGCTGGAGTGATAGCATAGCGGTAGGGCGTTTGCCTTGCACGCAGCCAACATGGTCGACCCGAGTTCGATTCCTCCGCCCCTCTCGGAGAGCCCGGCAAGCTACCGAGAGTATCTCGCCCGCACGGCAGAGCCTGGCAAGCTCCCCGTGACGTATTCGATATGCCAGACACAGTAACAACAAAGTCTCCAATGGAGACGTTACTGGGCCCTCTCGAGCAAATCGATGAACAACGGGAGGACCATGACAGATTATATATCCACCTGCTTCTCAAGGTAATTCTCACAGGAGCCAGGTAAGTAGCTCGTAGACAGCTTGCACCTTGCATGTGTGAAGCCTGGGGTTGCTTCCTGGCACTACAATAGAAGAATTGTCAAGATTATTCCCATGACAAGCCTGTAGAGACGGCTGCCAGTCGTAATAGTCTCTTTTGTGGGGACTCTGCCCACTCCTCCTTCCCTTCTTGGTTCTTCTGGAAAAGGATTGTTGAGGTGACTCGGGGACGGGGAGGGAGCTCCAAGGACTGGAGCACGGGCTTTGCCTGTAGGATCCCGAGTGTCAATCTAGCACCCCATATGGCTAACTGAGCACCACCAGAAATGTGCCAAGCACTGCTCAGTGTGATGCTGTCCCCCCTCTCCCCCCAAAGGATGCAGCGTCACCAGGGGTCTGGTGATGAGCACAGGATCCTGAGAGGAAGGACTTGCCATTGAGGGGATTGAGGCTACACCCATGCTCCTAGGGGTTTCTGCAGCAGACTCGTCTCCCCGAGGAGCCGCACACAGGTCAGGGCCCGAGGAGACAGCTCACACACCTGGCAGACCTTAGTCTTTCCCCACCTCAATGTAAATCTTTTTTTTTTTTTGCTCTTTGGGTCACACCCGGTGATGCACAGGGGTCATTCCTGGCTCTGCACTCAGGAATTACCCCTGGCGGTGCTCAGAGGACCATATGGGATGCTGGGAATCGAATCCGGGCCGGCCGTGTGCAAGGCAAACGCCCTACCCGCTGTGCTATCACTCCAGCCCCCCAATTTTTTTTTTTAAGGAAAGTAGTAAAACTAGTGGTGTAGGCTGGAGTGATTAATAGTATAGTGGGTGGGCGCTTACCTTGCATATGTCACAGCCATCTGACCCGGGTTCGAGTCCCCAACACCACATGGGGTCTCCCAAGCCCACCAGGAGCAATCCCTGAGCCCTGGTCAGGAGTAAGTCCTGAGCACACCGTCAGGTATGGCCCCAAAGCAAAACTTGTAGTGGCTTATGAGCAGAGACTACGTATCAATGAAGTACAGAACAGTTGATGAAATGGGCAGATTGGCGAGAAAGAAAGAATCTTGGTCCATCCCAGCTGACAGCATCCAGTGTTCACAGCCTCTCTCCCGAGTCCTATAAGGTAGGGACCAGGGTCTCATTTCCCAAGTAAAGAAGCAGGGCCTTGATCAGAGCAGTGACAGTGCGGCAGTTAGGGCGTTTGCCTTTACACACCATCAAACTGGGTCCAGTCCCTGGTGTCCCATAGGGTCTGGACCTGCCAGGAAGGATTCCTGAACACAGAACCAGGAGTAAACCCGCGCATCACCAGCTGTGGCCCAGAAGCCACGAGGAAAAAGAGAAAGAAAGAAACTGGGTCTGGGAACAGCTAACCGCTCGCCAGGCAGCTCATTCCACAGTCCTCTCTTCCTGCTTCCCCCTGGGGTGCCCGAGAAGCACGTGGCTTCCCTCGGCCTGGGTGTGCCCCCGCTGGGTCAGGAGAACCGAGGGTGGGAGCAGCCAGTCAGGCACTCTGAAGCTTTGTTTTTAAAACTTGGGGAGGAACTCGAGAGAAGCTGACCGGATGACTGATGAAAACCCTGTCCCTTTCCCCCGTCCCTTGGAAGCCGCCAGTCCAGCCATTCCCTCGTCAGCACGTTCCCAGATGTGTGACCAGAGCAGGGCTCTGCAGTCCCACTCACGAGTCCCCTCGGAGTTTACATCACTTGTTTTTCAGTTCTCGGCTTTCTCTCCCCTTCTTCCAGAGTCCAGCAGAGACCTCCGTGTGGGGACAATTACCCTAAAAAGAGTATCAGGTTTCTCAGCTGCCCGTGATGGCCTCCATCTCTGGAGCAGTCCAGCGCAAGGTTTGCTCCTTAACCCATGGCTTTCAGTGAGCAAATGCTCTCCACATCTACTTCGTTGTTTATTTTGTGTTGGGGCCACACCTGGCAATGCTCGGGGGTTACTCCTGTCTCTGTGCTCAGGAGTCACTCCTGATGGTGCTCAGGGGACCACAGGGGATGCCAGGGATCGAATCCCGGTTGTCCGCATGCAAAGCGAGTACTCACTGTGCTGTCTCTCCGGACTCCCTATGTCTTCCGGCCTGATGGGAGGAGACCGAGTTGTAGGCAGAAGAGGGAGAAGGGTGTGCCTGGGTGTTAGAGGTCCATGTGGCCTTTGGGCTCTCCTGGCCCTCTGGGTTCACAGGTCTCTCATCCCTCTCAGCACCCTTGAGGATGCTGCCGATGTGTGTTAGGATTTTAGGTTGGGTTTTCTCCGTATAGGCTGGGCAGGTGAGGGGCTCCTGTGTGGCCTCAGTCTCCCCGCCTCCTCTCCTGCAATCTTCCCAAAGCCAGCAGGCAGGAAGCAGACCGGCACGCTCCCCTCACTCCACATCTCATCTGCCCACCCCAACCCTGTGGGACTGGTAAGTGCTGGCATTGGCAAGAAATCCTCCAGCCAGCGCGTCTGTCATCAGCCTTCCTCATAGCTGCGTTCCCTCCCCTGCATAACTCAAGCATTAGCGCAAGGTACATCTGTCATGTTTCTCTCTCTAGAGACCGGCAAATGGCCAGACCTTTTCTGAGTAGTGGCGAGGAGGAATGTCTCGTAGCGTAATGGCTGGCCGGACACCCCCTCCCACATGCTGTCAGTCCACAGTGCTGTGTCCGAGTGGGCCAGCTGGCTGCACCTGTGCAGGAAGGGAGCGCAGCCTGGCTTTGGGTTGGGACAGGACGGCGCGACTCAGGACATCTGCTCAGTGCCAGGCCTAGTGTGCCTCGTTATTTCCCACCACAGCTGGGGGGGGGGGGGGGGGGGGCACTGGGATCCCCTTGCAGAGCACATGGTTTCCACTCACAG